CCTAATACGGTGGCAAAATAAAGCAAAGTTCTGGAAATTGCTCACAATAATAACATTCAATGATTATAAAAAGAAATTAAAGGAAGAGCCTTACTCGCCATCTCAGATGGTGGATTAGGGGTTCCATATAGGCGACAAGGGGTTGAGTAACTCGAGTGAACAAAAAAAAACACAAAAACATGCCACCTGCCCTAGATAGAACCCCATTTTCCCGATAATTTCTACGATCGTACAAGTGACGATTATCATGATTCTTCGTCCTGCAATCTCTATTTTCACTGGAAGTCGGTCATTAGGGGCGGAGTCTGGAGGCGGACTGGAAAAAAGGAGCCACTGAACCTATATTGCGCTACAGCGCCCCTCCCATAGAATTTTTTGCCGCGAAACCGGTACAAGGTTGTTCGTCGCGGACCACTCTAACCTCCTGACGCCATATTTTCAACTTCGATACCTGATCGCGGACCGTGCCTTTAATGCTAATAAGTGAGAAAGTCGTTCAGTCTCATGATAGAAGTAGATATCGGAGAAATGGAAATTTAAGTTCCTTTCGCCGGAAACAAACAGTCTTGTGCTGCGGATGATGGGGCGTGTCCATGAGGGAGAGCTTGTCGCGTTGCCAAATCGTTCTCCACCAATCGTTGAAGCCGATAAGCTACAACAATTGGTGGAGAACGACTGATGTGAAAGATATGATACAGTCTTGTCACTCGCCGAAAGAAAAATGGAACGGGCTGGCATCTGCCAAACCCATCCCTCTTGACACGCCCCATAATCAGAGGCGAACAAAGCCGTAAGACTTAGTTTATCGTGGCTAATTATGAACTCGGCCAAATTATTTAGTATTTATTTATTATATAGTTTTTATTTATTAGTTACTAACTTTACCACCTCATATTGTCACATAGTACGTTTTATCAAAAAGCTATCTATTTAGGGAATCATCATTAACGAAAAGCCTGCCACCTTCACGGAAACCCAACGATTCACTTTTCATTCTGATTTAGAGTAGTATAGCCGCAATGTCACAACACTGACTTAAAGGCACACTTTGTTGAGGTTGAGTCACTTGGACCCTCGGCGCTGTTCTCATCGATGGGCCTTTTTCTGTGAAAAGAAAAGAGAATAGCGAACTTATGAGAGAAACGCAGTGGTTCGTAATGGTCCAAGTGACTCCGCCCATAAAATTAAAACTAAGTATGTCTTGAAGAGTTGGCAGTAGTCTGCAAATCACTGTACAGTTTAAATACGCATTGAAATACAGCTCTGAAAAGTATGCATGTACAGTTGATTTCGTCGCAATCAGTCGGGGGGGGGGTCTGGTGAGGGTGGAATAAGCCCACAAACAACGTTTTCACCACTGGTTGTTTTCTTCCTCAGCCGATTATCAACCCAACACTAGGAGTGGAGAAAAGCAGGCCAGCGGGGCATCCCGCCCCTTCTGGCACCACCCCGACTGATGGCAGCGGTACCATCTATTAATTGTTGAAGAGCTTGAATCACGACGACTTCCTCAACTCTTCATTCCCTAGCTCTCACTTCTTTTTCCTCACAGTAATGCATTCCATTGTATGGTTCTCATTTTAGTTTTTTTTGGTGCTTCTATACAGGTTGCTATTGTTCACAATGTTATCACAAGGGCTACACTCCATATCGCAAAGATAGAGTGGGCGTGGCTACGTACTTCTTTGGGACCATGACTTAGGACGCGTTTGTAGAAGAATATTCCACTTGAGACAATTGTCATCTGAACAAACGCATGTTCACAATTGTCTCAGATCGGCAGTATCCCACCATAAATGCAGCCGCCACTAACTACTGAAGTACGCATCCACGCCCCTTCCACCTTTGGGATAAGGAGTGTACCTCATTTGGCAAAGGCAGTTTATACCAGTTTGATTTGAATCCACGACCTTTCATGCCAAATACACATGTATCCGATTTGCATTTAATTAATAATGTCAAAGTTCAGATTTCAGATACAGGAAATTTGAATGTTGAGTGAGCGCTGTTAGCCTTGGAGGGGTAGAAGCATTAAAAGGGCTCCTTGTGCGGAACTGGGATGGGATCACCGTTATCCAAATAGAATCTATACTCTAATTGGGTTCGACCACCCAGGAGCTCTCCCCTAACCTCATTCAGCATTTAGCCTTACGCAAAAGTCAAGATTCCCAATACGTAATTCCAGTCTTACTTTACAATCTCGTTGCGCATGCTGGGACGTTTCAGGAGGTAGGGGGGGGTGTAGTTGACGCGGAAGATCACTGGAAAACGCACCGGCGCCGCGCCCTCGTCATGCCCCATCATCCGCACAAACAGAACTGAAGATTCCCACAAGAATATTAGCGCCATTGAGTGACATAAAGAAGTTTTGTAAATATTCTGCAATTCAAAATATTGTGCTATTTTGTATTACGGTGCTGTAAACCTCGTAGAAATACCGTGATTGCTCATTTCACGCTCACAATTGTATATTTTAGTAATTTTTATTCGCACTTTTAATGAATTACTACCGGTTAATAAAGTATTTAATTGCGGTGTTCCTAGTGGTTGAGACCACACACATCTTCAGAAACGTCATAACCTATCACTACTATCAGTTTTATGGTATCAGGGTGTAATATTCCACAAGTTCGAGACCCACGTGTTGTTATTGCAGTGCTCTTTAAAGGAATGATCACACAACTGGTTTTCCTCGAAGCGTCAGAGTTGGTCACCTACCCTTTTGTTAAACTCCACTCATTATCCCTGCAACTGAAAGGGCACGCAAATGGCCGTGGGTAGGAACGCAGCCAAAGCGGCGTTTTCCACCAATCCGGCGATTTCGAGCCTGCAACAATTGGTGGAAAGGGATGCCTTGGCTACGCTCCGAACCCATGCACGCTCACATGCCCCCTCGTTCACTTGACTGTATGTCCCCTTTTTATCAACACTTTTTCACTCTCCTTCCAGTAGTTTTAGCGTACAATACGTCTTATCTCCTCTCATCATTTGTTCCAGCTTCCTTATTCGCTATCGATCAAGTCACAACACCCTTTTATAGCCTGCCATCAGTATTTACGTTGTTGGACAAGGTGGACACTCCTAAAATAAGCACTTCCTCTTATAATGAAGTTTCCCTTCATGATAAAGTGAGTCACTCCCGGATCGGCTCCGCGCCCGAGCGAATGACTCTTCTACCCCTTTCCCGGAACGCTTATTTGGTACCAGATTCGTTGAGTACAGTCGGACCACTATAGACGACTTGGTTTGAACAGTGTATGTTCCTCAGGGGTGCCCGGGTAGTGTAGCGGAAAGTGGCACGCTGATCATGCGCACGGTCGGGGGATCAAATCCCGGATCGGCTCCCGCCCAGGCCAACCAAGCCTTCTACCTCCGGGGACCTTGAATCAGTACCACATTCGTCTGGGAGGATAAGAAAACTCTTGTACATCGGCTGGCCCACGCAACTCATTGTGTAGACCACATCGCATTCTCTACGCCATTATGATGCTGAGTGGAAGTAGGATGCATGCCGTACCTCAAAAAGGAGTTAATAACAACGAAGACTTAATCTTTCATCTTTTGAGCATAGTCAATCCCCCCCCCCAATCCCAATCCTCAAATGCTGAGTCCACGACCAGTTACAACTGTCCTAAGCTCATCGTATGGAGAAGTAGTGCGGACTGTAACGAACAACCCTAATAGGATTTCACGTCACAAAAAGGAAACATAGCGGCGGGAAAGCACAAGGTCGCTCAAGTGACTCCGCCCACAGTGATAGATGTCTCGTCTACGCTATCCTTGGTTTGCATGCTCTCTCACTGTTTTCTCTGGCCTTCTGGCCCTTCCCGATATCCGCAATGATTGTTTGCCTTCTGCGTGGCACTTGTAGGGCCTTATTTGGAGCCTTCTCTACGGTTTCTCGTCCTTTTTCTTCACTAAAGTGTCAACTAGCACGTACAAATCTTTTTCTCATCCCGCTATCTAGGAACGTTTGGCGGCTCATCGCGAGTGTGCGTCTAAGCCTCCAATACTACCACCATCTTCCATGAGTCTTCCATTCTTGTTTCATTCAGACCTCCTGAACGTCCAAGAAATCGCTTTTAATCACATATTCGCTCGGACTTCTCCCAGGTCCATTCTGGAGCAACGCATCAAACAAATAGTATCTTTTCCCTAATGGCTTGGTAAATAGTGGGGCGTCTGATCTTTGGTCAGGGTGTGGCGATAGAGGAGAGGATCCCGCGTTGGGAGCATGAAGAATCCTCAGACTTGAAGAAGCTCTTCTACTGCATGGTTCTTTGGAACCCACAGTTCTGCCCATTTTTGTCAAAGTTTTGTGAAAGCAGCTACTTCGCCCAGTTCTGTCAGGTGAAGTACTTGCTTAGGATTACTGCACTTCCAGACACCTTTCTCTGGACGATTGAGGCAGGCCACCTAGCGGAACCAGCCAACCATGTTGTTCGGCATCGGTTCAAACACATAAGCGTTCACTTCTTTTTATCAGTTTCATCTCCTTGGGGGTGGGAAGTACTCGATCGGCAACCGATAAGAAGGTGAGAACTATTACTATTACTTCACACTTTTGCTTTGACAAAGGGCGGTACCTGGTGTATAGCCATCTCACTGCCTTGGGTATACTGGTCTACCTCCCAAAGCAGTTTAATTTATTTCTTCGCCCTGCCTCGTACGGATAGAATTTGGAGGTCACCTTCGCTTATTATAATTGTAATGTCTGTTGCGATGGCGTAGTTCGGCTCGGAGGGAGCATTTTGCACTTTAGTTGCTTACCATTGCCGGAATCACAGCTTTACATTAGCTGTGAGGTATTCTTTACAAGGTTTGACAAGTAGTCCCTAAAAGTTTTAACTCGTATCATTTCATGGCTTCACAAGATTTCACAGGTATTCACTTAATGGCTCGAAGTCGACGGCAAGAAGCGAAAGTGCACAATGCCTCCCCCCCCCGAAGCCGAACTACGCCTGCTATAACACTTTCGGCTCGTTTTCTCTTTGAAGGCAATGTACACTATCACCCTGTTCTTGGCGCTGGCCTTCTTTCTGGTCGCCGCTGAAGCACATTCGCTGCGAGTGATGACGTTTAACATCTGGAATTCTGGGTCGCATGTGGAGAACGGAATTCGCAAAATTGCAAAGCATATTTCGCTTGTTGATCCCGATATTGTCGGGTTGCAGGTAGACATAAAAATCTTATTGAAGGATTCCTATTCAGAGTTTTCTTCTAAAAAACCTTCCTAGGAAATTCAGGAAGTACAACGGCCAGACGTTTTACCGGAATTACTGCAATTTCTGGGACCACCATGGACTGGAGTGGCTGGTGACGAGTTCTATCCGGATATTGCTATTCTTACAAAGCACGATGTGAGTTAGTTTAAAATTCCTGGGATTTCTTTTCATAGTCCGAAATCTTTTTGGGAAAGAGCCCTAGTATGGGAAAGTAGAGGGGATGACATCGGGTGCCGGGGTAATGTCCTGCCATTGAGGAATTTTTTTGCAAAACAGGCCCCCCTTCAAAATTCCTCCTCTGGTGCGACCTCTTCCCTCCACCTTCCCTATCATTCATTCTACTCACTATCTTCCTAAATTTTCGGAGTTTTTCGCGACTTCCTGAGCCTTGTATCACTTTTCCGAGAATTTCCCAAAAGACAAAACCCGAGCACACAAGTTTTCCCTAGAAATGACTCCTGAAAGGTGGGGGAGGGAAGAGCAATCTGCCTTGTTCTTTCCCATGGCGAAGCCCACAAGACGTTCTCGCCTAGACGAACGTGAACCTCGGTATAAGCAATAAGCTTTAGTTGGCGAAAGGACATAAATGCATGGCCAAGGAGCACGCAGCCACCTACGATGGCGCCAGGAACTGCCTCCGCCTTCTCCCCTTCGGCCTCGAGAAGGAGAAATGGTACTCTAAATACACGCCTGAAAATGCAAAATTAACTATAAAACTACTGAACAGAAAATTTTTTAGCCAGGGATCGGGGATCGCAACTCTGAAAAAAATCAGACTAGCCGAAGCACCAAGCAACTAGGCGGAGCCTGACTTGTGCCTTCCTCACTAATGTCCCTCTCCAGTATAAGGACCTAAGAAGCAGGAGGGCACCAGTGAAGGTCACACGCTGCTGTACTTGGCTCCACCCATACGTTGAGCGTGGAATAAACATCCTAATTCTGATGAGATCCATGGAAGTCTTCGAGAGACCTGGGCAGGGCTTCGTTTTGTCACAGAGTTCACATATTTTCCAGTCAATAAAGTTTTTGCTGTGAACTCATGTTTTACCTGATGTTTAGATGATCATGCAGTCGTACACGAAGACCAATCGCTCAATCAGTATAAAAATCCAACTGCAATCCGGCTATGTGGTCAGTTTTTGGAGCGTTCATCTCGACTACAAGTCTTTTGGTCCCTATGCGGCCAACAACAAGCTCGTCACCACTTTAGATCAAATTCTCGCTGGCGAGAAACCACTGAAAAGAGCAGGTGAGTCGGAGTTTAGTCGGGATATTCCTTGTCGCCAACTGCCCGCCATTGGGTGCGCTATGCACCGACATTGAACCCTTATCAGAGCGAAACAGTGAGTACTGGGAGCGTTGTGTGCCCCGGGATAGGCCACTCGTCATAGGGCAGATGCGGCATAAGATGTTATAGCATGGCTTAGCCAACGTCGAACATGCCACCCCCTTGACTACTATTAGACTCTACGGCGGGATTTTATCGCGCCAAATCACGACGTAAAGCCTGCCTAAGCGTCGCTAGAGTGACCTCGGCCGAGGCATTTAGAA